ACGAACCTCGGCCACAGTCCATCTTAAATAGGTCTTCCAGATAGCTACATTTCTTGGACCTTTTCCACCAAGAATTATTGTCAAAGGCATGGTTGGGGAACACCATTGCAGTTTGAGATTTCTACTGAGCCAATTGCCATTTGGATCAACAGCTATAGTTGTGACTTGGCTGTCTGTTATCTGAAAATCATGGACAGCTGTGTTCCACAGGACATGTTCAGGAACAATGAAATCCAGCGAGTGTTGGACCTACTGTTTTAAGTGCTGCACAGGTAGCCCAAAACGTTACAGGTATGTCAGACCAATTTTGCCACATAAACAGATACTGGTCAGAAATGCCTGGGCTGCAAGAGCTCAGGACTGTACTGCTTCTTGGCAATTTAGATCTTCCTTGTCTCAGGAAGGATGGGTACGTTTCTTTCAGCCTCCTCATGGAGCCTCTAAATTCCTTGCTTGTGTGCAAGGATGTAAGTCCCCCTCTTCTACCCCTTCTTCCCCCCTCACTGTATGTTCTGTCTTTAGTTGCTTGTTTAGTATTAGGAGAATGGAGCAAGTAGCCGTAGTGTCCTGGCAATAGTTTCATCCTGTCCTGCGGAGCATAGCCCCGTGAAACTGAACTATATTCAAGACTGGTTACACATTTTATTTTCTGCATTATGTTAGGTTCCTCCTTCCATGTTTATCAGGAAGGTTACTCTTAAATGAGCTATATGGCAGCACTCAATAGTAGAGTTCTATTTAAGACTAGGTGGGATAGAGGTCCTGTTACTCTATAGAGCATACCAGCCATAACAGGTTCCAAAAAATATTTTAGGTATCAGTTTATTTATTTATTTATCAACATTTGTTTCTGTCATCTTTTTACCTTACAAGAATAAAACCCTTATACGTTCTCTATATGCTTTGTTCTTTAAAAGCTGCTTGACTTAATTCCCAATCGTGAATTGGCAGTTCATTAGAGATTTTTGCTGAACTATGCCTTTTTTTTTCCCCCCCCCTAGAAATTTTATTTCTAGTTCTTGTTTCACTGTAGCTTGTTAATACTAATTCCTCAACTTGGGAATTGCAGTTTCTAATGCACAGTTTCCTGGCTTGATATCTAGGATCTGTCCTAGCATATGTCTCAGCTGAACTCTTGCTTTATAATTGTGAAATAGTGAAATTTTTAATTTTTTCCTTCTTTGTCAGCACTTGGTCCTTGTACTAAAACGAAGCTTTCTAACCCTGGTAAAGCAAAGATTCTGTTTTTAAAAAGAATTCCTGGAAAAAAAATTGTAACTGTACTTTGATATTGGATGAATATAGTGACTCATAAGATGAATTTCTGATCAGGTGCAGACACAAAAAAAGAGAATGTCTTTGTAAGGGTGATAAGTGATTTATTAGGCATGTTGAAACAATTGTAGTTTTTTACTTGTGATGTTGTTGGGTGCAGTGAGCTGGGAGAATATAATTTGGTCTGTGATGGATATGAATGACATATATTGTTTATAAATACATTGAGTACCAAAGTCTGCACGGACCTATTGATAAGGCTACTATTTGGAAGACTTTGCTTATACTGTCGGCATAGGTATATGCACATACATCCAGGTGAGAACAGATGAGCGTGCATGTGCATGCCTACAGCCCTTGCCTCTCAATGGAAAATGCAGCGTCAGAGGAATTGCAAAAATGAATTTGGTGACCAGCAAGCCGAGACTAGTTGAAACTGTTTTGGCTGTCAGTATCTCTTCTTTGAAATAAAGATATTTTTGATTGCTTCCAGCCTTTTTGATGTGAGATAGAACAGGAGAGGAGAAGGACCAGGAATGACAGCTCATAGTCAGCGTTCCCTTTTCTTACAGGTTATTTTAAATAATTTTTGTTAAACATGTCAGCATGAATGTTTTATATTTACTAAAACTCAAATTTAACTCATATTTTTTGTTGATCTTTCAATACATTTTGATTTTTCCTAAACAAAATAGCTAAATTATATCCATTGCTATTCTGAAAGCATGTTGCAAAATTCTGGCATTGTTGAAGTCAATGACCAATCTGTCAGAGACTTCAGAACAGCTAAGATTACACCTGCACATTTTTCATTAAAAAAAGAGAACTTAGCATATACTTTGACCTAAACAAAAAGACAACTAGCTTTATCAGTCTTTACATTTCCTATAATGAAAATGTGATCTGTGCAGAGTGATGCAATCTCTTTTTGTAGCACTGAAGTTCCACTCATTGCTCTGTCAGTGAACTTTTAAGTGGAAAACACATCACTGATACCATGCCTCTTTCTAAAACCTTATTAAAAACATAGGGTTATTAAGTCTTTCTTTCTGCTGTATATTCCCATTTCTTCTGTACAAGACCATTTATAAACAGAAAGAAAGAAATACTGTTACTCAAGTAGTTGCATGGAACTTGATCCTATTTGGTTTTGTCAAATACTCTTGTCACTATATAAAGTATAAGAATGTCCTTGACTTGAGTGTCAAGATCTACTATTAAATTTTTTCTTTCCTCTTATGTAAAGATCTATATACAGTATTTCACCTGTGCTGTGTTTCAAACACATGAGATGTATCAGGACTTGGAACTTGATATATCGAAAGCTAATGAAGTTGATAGAAAATGCAAAGTTAGACAAATGGTATGTGGCCTCTTCAGGTATATGCGGTAGTCCTGTCACAATTGCACTGAAAATTATCCAATTCCATGAATAGATACTTGAAGTGATAGAAGGGACCTGGCTTAATGAGCAAGATTCTGTTCAGTATGCTCAAGAATAACAGTCTAGTCCATAATTGTTTCATGTAGATGTAAATTCTAACAAAGGAAGAAAATTTCAGGAGGAATGCATTATAAATCACACTATTATAAAGGGGAGAAGCTGTTTGCTTACACTGGCTGAATTGCAGTCATATCTCTTCGGGATGGGCTTATTAGATAAATGTTTCCATGGTGACCATACAAGCAGTGTGAAGTGTGACTCTTGCCACAGTGGATTAATAAAACAGTGTAATTTTTTTGATAAAAGAATGAGTAAAAAGTATCGGAGCTTATTTCCTTAAAGCTGGCAGAAACAAGAACAGAAGCAGCAGGCTTCAGACTAAGTACCTAGTCTGAGAACCGACAAATGGAATTCAAACAAATAATGCTAATACATAAACAGTTTCAGAAAAATGTGCAGTTATCACCTATAGGGAAGGAGAGATGACCACTTCCTTGGACAGAGAGAAATAGAAAAAAAGAGAGAAATTAGCAGTTTTGGAGCAGTGAAGGATTAGCAGGAGCTGGGTTGTCCTTTGGTCTGTTTGGAGAACAACTGTTTTGTGAAACAAAATGAAATGAATGTTGTTTTCCGTAAGTTCTTGTCAGTTATGAGCCAATGTAATAACAATGAGCTTAATACCCACATTTCACAATGTGTGGGACAGTGCAGCAGGAGACAAAAAAAAAAAAAAACCCACCACCACCAACAATCTTCTGCACCTCTCAACATGGGAGCAATATACCTCTAATATAGTGAGGAACAGATCAGTCTCAAAAGTGAGCAAATAGGTGCAGCTACCATGTAAGGGATGCAACTGGAACATTTCTACAGGCATGGAAGGTAAATTCACACAGTAAGGCCCCTGTTTCTAGGAAGACTCCAGTAACTTTTTGTGCCATTTCTCCATACTGAAATAAATTTCCATATGATTAACATTTGAACCATGCTCTGAATTATATTACTGTAACTTCCTCGTTGCTGGCTCCCAGGAGAGGCATGTTGCCATTTCCTACTCACTGAAACCATCTTGATGGAAGGAAAAGATGGTCATCTTCACTGAAAAGGAATAATTCATTACCTATATGAAGTACATTAGTTTGGATAGTTAAAAGAATTGAATAATAGCAAAATGAATTCTGAAACGCAGCAAAGGGCATATATTTATTTAGCTAACTTTGCACTAAAAGATAGTTGTCGATATTTAAATACTGTGGAAAATGGACGAGACTGGGAGGCATTCCCCATAAAAATTCTGTGTATGTGAAAGAAAAGGTAATAAGGAAGATGAAAATTAAGCCATATGTGATATTTTCAAATGCTGTCAGAGCATTCCCCCCCCTCTATTTTTAATTAAAGATTAGAAGATTTTCAGTGGTATTTGTATACAGTGGAGTGTAGCAATCTAGCTTGAAACCCTCACAACTTGTATGGCTGTATGCCACTGTGCAGTGACAGCAGTTAATTTCCTTTGATTCTCTTTGCCTTTTCCATTCAAATTTACTTAACATTGTAGTCATGCATACTTTTCCTCTTAAACCAGTACAGAACAAAGGACCCATGAATGTGAAATTAAGTGTGCATGAACATGAGAGGTGGCAGAAGTCATATTCAGTGGAAGGTCAAGACATGCACTGTAGTGCTTAGATAAGGAAACAGTAAGTGCAGCATAAAACACATGGAGTGAGGTAGAGGGATGTATAATATTACTCTTTTCTTCTAATAATCTTTTTGACTCTTAAGCATTCACTATTAAGTATTGTTCACCTTTCCCCATTATGCTCCCTTTCTATAAATCAGAGTAACTAGTATTTCTAAATAGCTGTTTCTGATTGTACATTCCCACAAGATAACAGAATGAATACAACTTTTCTTGCACAGAGGGGGGGGGGAATGTTTATTGGGTTTCCATCTAAGTTTACTAACTTTTGGACTATTTTTTTCAGGTGAAAAATTATATTAACTTATGTTTTTACACAGATAGAAAATTAAAAAAATTACCAATTTCAATTTCTGTTTTCAGAGACTTTCCTCCCAATTTCTTTCTTGAAACTAGCGGGTAGTGATTTACTTAAAAAAAAAAAAAAATTGGCATATTTTGTTACATATTGAGTTAAATAGCTACACTTCCAATGAAATAAACTTCCTGCGTACCACTGCCGCAGTAATTACTTTCTTCAGTTTCCTTCTGCTTTTGTTGAGGTATTTTATTGTTAATTTGTCTAAAATCTGTTTTTTACAGATTATCATTACGAATTGAGCCAGGTAACAGCTCTCCTCGACTGGTTTCCTCCAAAGAAGATATCGCAGGTATAAAATTTAATTAAAATTTTGAATAAGAAAATAATTTCAGTTACAGAAATCCTTCACTGAAGTACACAGGGAAACCCATTTTATATCAAAGGGTTTTTGGAGGGATTAATCAGTTTCAAATATGCTGCAGTTAGAAAGTTATCTTGTAAGTACTGTCAGAGAACCAATACTTTTCCATGCATATGCCTAGTTTCAGAACATCCTTGGTCCGGAGCACCACCACTCCACTGATGGTTGTAAATGATCTAATTTTTATTGCAAATTTTTATATGGCCAGCTTGTACCTGAGTTAGCATTGTTCTTTTGTCTTGAATAATTCTTCTCTCTTTATGATATTCACCCTAAGATATTTTTAGAGGGAAGTCATATCCCATATATCAGCATTCATTTAACTAGGCAAAACAAATCCATTGATCTTAAGTGAATGAAAGCAATTTGATTTCAGAAGTAAGACTTCTTTTACCGAGACTGCAGATGAGGTGTGTTGCTATATATTTGCCTAACTATAGGAACAGGCCTATATGGATAGCAAAGAAAGAGCATTTCTGAGATCAGCCATTAGTAAGTTTCACAGTTTTAGTAGGTAGTATAAAACTTACTGCATTTCTATATCGAGATAAAAATCCAACTACAGCACAGTATGCCTAGAATTACTCCTGGCGATTGACTAGGGCAAGTTGCCAAGGTTGCTAGTATTTACATCCAGCTCTCCCACCAACCTTGTTACCATTTAAGAGTCTAAGGAGAGACTATCGCTCCCAGTAGTATTGCTACGTTCTTTGTTTTCCAGAAGCCAGACCACCAGTTCAGAAATACTCTCCATAGCATGATTCATCAATAAAGATCGTTAACTTGCATATGAACAACTGCAGTCTGAGGGATAACTCAGTGTTTGTTGGCATTGGAACAGAAATTGGATTAGTTTTGTTTTTTACAAATGTGTGCATTTTCATTAATATTTAATAAGTGAAGAAGGAACTCTCTTCAAGTAAAAAGGAATCAGTGCAGTGAATAATAGAGGAAATTCTCCTTTCAGGTTTCTGTGTAAAGTAGCACATAGAATTGAGACAATTTCATTGGGTAAAGGGGGAGGACAAAAGACTTGTAATAACTTTGTAACAACATCAAACAAAATACAGTATCATCCATAAGTTGACCAAAACACACATACTTGCTGTACGGGCATGATTTGTACAATTAACTTTTGTACAATTAACTCTTGTACCATCGTATCCAACCATCTTTCTTTCATTCTCATGTAATTTGATGCACAGATCCAATCTTGTCCCTGCTCTTTAGAAGTAAGTAGAAGAGGGTAGCCATGGCAGTATTCATTTGCTACGTTTGTTGTGTCTCGTAAATCTATATGGTACCAGTGACTTAGACAACATGAATCTTTCATCTTTTTATTTTCGAATCTCCAGTTACCACCTTTCATATTACTTAGTAGAAAGCACTGTATTCCAGTTGGATCTGTATACTGCAGTCAGTATACATGTTTTGAGGGAGCTTAGATATAACACACTGCTTTCCCTGACTTAACTGAACATACACCAGGGATATTATTCAACATGAAGTGATGTCATAAAAGTGGAGCCTTGTTTTACCAAAACTAGGAAATATTTTTGATTAAAGGAACACTGTTGAGGTTGGTTGGCCCAAAATATGACCTTCGTTTTTTATTGCGTATATATTTCCAGAAACCATGTCATTCTGTACAAGATGAGGGTTTGTGACGCGGGAGTGGTTGTTTGGAAAGCAAATTCTTCAAAACCTGCCTGCCTCTATTAATGATTTAACCATCAAATAACAAGACATTGCGTGCAGCTCAGCCCTCATGGACAAGCTGGTGTGTAACAAAGCATTGGTGAACAACTCTACGATAACATATTGGTGTATGCATGCAGTGGAGCAGGGGGGAAGTGTATGGAAACAGTTTTGAATTTGTAAAGCTTTTTACTAGACAGTGAAACATTTTTAAGAAGCTAAATTTAATCTCATTTTTATCTGTATCCTTTTTCAGTGTTTCAATTAGATTCATTACTTTTTGACATTCACTTGAGCAGCTTCTCAATGCAATGCTAGGTTTACAAGTGAATAGTGAGTATGGATATATCACCTTTCCCAGTGTATCGTGGTTTTAGAATCTGTGATAGTTTCAGATTATGTCAAGAGTGACTTTATGTTAGTGAGTAATATTAAAAGAAGCTATGTTCCCCTGCATTGTAAATACAAATTGACGTTTCCTCATCGGGCACAATAAGGTGCCCTGATTATTCAGTTGTGTGGAACACCTTTAGCTTTGAACAGAGTCTGTGGATACTGCTGGTGGTAGTGAGACTGTACTGTTTTGCTAGTAGACAGTGCAATACTAATCACAGTTTTAAAAAAATCTAGCATATTCAGAAAAAAATTCAATAACACGAATATTGACACCATATTGTTAACCTCAGGTTAGGGTAAGTAGTGATATCTTAGGCTTGAAGCTGCAGTGGTACAGGGAACAAATAAAGCCAAGAAAGAATTTAAAGCTCAATTTATAAAAACAATATATCATAGAGCAAGAGAGGTCATTCCCAAAAATAGATTGGTATGTTGGAAGAAATTTAAAAGACCAGCAAAAATAATTAAAAGGGCTGGAGAGGTTAGTTTTAACAGAAAATTCAAGAACTAAGTCAATTAAAATACATCCAGTAGCTCATTTAGAACATTGGTAATTTAAATGACAAAAACTAGGTAAGTTCACAATAGAAAGATTCATGTGAATGATCTGGCTCATTTAGGAGGTTACTTTACCTCTTAACCACTAAAATAGATCACAGTGAGTAATACTTCTCTATGAAATGCCTTCAAAAATTTCTTCTTGTGGATATGTATATAACTCTGATGTTTGTTTAAAAACTCCTGGATAGGAGTTGACAGCATTTTGGCTGTGGACATCCTGTCTCATCAGAACATATGGAAGTAGAGGTATAAAATTAGTATTTTTTGTATTTTGAACTCTCCACTTAAATGTTTTTACAGAGACTCCTCTTCATACTGCTCAGTGCTGTGTACTTGCATCAATGAGCAATGCTTCTTATAATTTCCAGTTGAGCTGAACGCTGAATGCATTATGTTGGCAGTAGTGTTCTAAAACCTTTATGAGAAAAGGAAGGAAGATTCATAACATTTGATAATTACATTGTTTGCCTTACAGATGAAGAGAAGCATAAATATGTCTGTGCACAAACTAAACATCAAAATATATAAAATATACTTACTACTTTAGGAGCTATTATCTCAAAAGCTGTTCTATTTTAATTTCTTGTCCTGAGTGGCCAATTTTCTGTCTCATTATGCTAAACCAAGTATGAATGTTTAAAAAAAAAAAAAAAAGTCCAGACCTCATCTGACAAGCTGTTTCATTTTACATTCAAAATGTCTTTTCTTATCACTAAATGAGATAGAGACAGAAAGAGAGAAAGAAAGAGGAAGATACTAAATATGAAAGAAGAAAAATAATGCAGATGCTCTTCCTCCATCTCCCAGCACTGCATGTTAGCTGCTGTGAATACCTATCTAAGTGTCGAATGGCCAGTCATTATATAGGGTTCTTCCTTTATCTCAGAATTGTGAATTCCATTCCTGGAGTCAGATACACATTTGATCTTGTCTTCAGTCCCTGTAGTTGTAAGGAAAAAAAGAATGAATCTGCAGAAATAATAACTTGGAAGAAAACATTTCTTCCAGAATTCCCTTTCCCACCTGCCTCCCAATGCTCAGTACAATTATTTGTTGGGTAAAATATAAAGAAATAGTTCACAGGGGGGAAATAGTTTTTAAGCTAGGTAAATTAAGTAAGTTCAAAAGTAGTTGTTAATTAATTAGCACTTTTTTTACAGACATGGGAAGTTTGGTTTTGTTTTTATGAGGATTCTTTTTTAACTTGAAACTTAAAGCTAAGACGTTGGATCTCCTATGATTATATCTTAAGTATTTAAAGCATACATATGGGTAGGCTTTTTGGCTTTTTACTTTGGTATTGCTTACATTTGAATGCTTTACACTAGGGTTTTGATACTAGCATTCCATTAGGATGATTGTGAAACTTGACTTTGGTTCTAGCTGCATAATTTGTGACCATCACCAATATTGTGTAATTCCTAATCGAGGGCTTAGACTTTATTAGAGCTGTAATGGAAAGCAATTAAAAATACAGTTCCAAAGCTGGAGACAAGAACCTTGAAACTGTCTTGAGCAAGGCAAATAATATGGTTTTACATTGCACTGAGCTCAGCTGGAGTGCAGAAATCATATTCAGGGCAATATTCATTTCTACTTGACTGAATGTGTCAATGGTATCTTGCAGTATTAGGAAAGGATGAGCTTTCCCCTCAGATTCTACAGTACCCCTACATGCTCTGTAAGATTGCTCTGTTCAGAATGAGAGCTAAGATGATGACTAGAAACTGAGTCTTGAGTCATTCCTATTGCCCCATTTTTCTGTTAGTATGTCCTTTGAAGGCTAGACGCACTTGCAGTCTGCTGTGTTTTTAGCTCAGCTGGAGAGTTCTCATCTACTGCCAGTTAGACAATGAATGCCACCAGCATTTTGTAATGCCCACATCAAATTTTCGGTGACCTGCATCTACGTGACCTGCATCTATGTGACTAAACAGAATCCAGTGTGCTTTATTCAAAAGTAAATTGGTTCCTGAAGAAGATTAAAATGAATTCAAATGCTAGTTAAAATGAATTCAAATTGAGAGAGATTTAACTAAGCCTGAAGGAGATAATTTACTGCTTATTTCACAACACTAAGAGAAAAAGATACAGCCATATGCTAGTCTTGAGTAATTTCGGTCTAAAGTATACGTATATCAGTAATGAGAGATTTAACCATGGACAATTAAAAATAGCACATTCTGAGGTATTTGAGTCAACATTATTGGATTCAAATTGTGGTCTGAGATTGTCTTTCTCCTTCAGCCATTATGAGTGAGGAGTAAACCCAT